TTTAGTAATAACTTTGCAGCTTTTGTGATTTTAAATGTTTTTTAAAGTAACATTTTAAATATATCTCCATGTTCAAGGTAGGGCAAAAAGAATGTTTTCTCTGCTATTACACTTCAGGTTACCAGGTGGCAGCATTGTTGTAATAGTAAACTTTTTCTGGCATTTTCTATATTTATTTATTTATGTCACAACTTGAAATAACTGAACTGCTATGCAAATGAAATACATAATTGCAATGGCTACACTGTCCCAAAATAGATGTGTAGTAGATTTTGACAACTATTTACAAATGCACTGCAACACAAGATAATTTTTTAGAAAGTGTGTTAAGTTCCATCCTCTATTCAAATGAAACTGGTGTCCATGAACAGCGAAGCAACATGTAATAAATGTCTCCGGGCCTGTGCTAAAATAATGAGGGAGAGGGAAAAGGATTTCCTTGCTTGTTAGAATTATCTTACAAGTCTGAAATTATTCTTCTGCACTTCAGACAGTGGCTTTCATCATGTAATTCAAAGTCAAGTTAAAAAATGACAGTAATAGGTGGCCTGCAGTGACAGGCTGTTTGATTTTGGATAGTTGCAGCATGGTTTATGCAAAGAAACCCAAGGATTATTTATGGCCAAAGTTAACAACATCTCCTTCTAATAAGACTATCCAACTTCCTATTAAAAGGTTATGTATTTAGGTCGTTGCAACTTTGTTCAAATGTAGCTATCCAGGAACAAAATCTATATATTGCTTTTCTACTTTGGCCTGGTAGTTTCTGTCATGCCATTTAATTTCTTGTTTCTATCTCTGTTCATTTGTCTCTCTGCCTCTTTGTTTGGTTTTGTTTTGTGAAAATACCATCTCCTCCATGATTCAACAGTTTCTGAGGACAAGGCAGTATAATTAACTCTCAGCTTTAGCAACTGCAGATTTGCTGGTATTAATGGTGGAACACCTGAGGTGGCTCAGTGCAGATCACAGGCCCAGCAGGACTCATTCACTCAACTGCTAGTAGAACCATAAAATAATAGAATATCCTGAGTTGGAAGAGATCCACAAGGATCATTAAGTTCAACTCCTGGCCCTGCACAGGACAATCCCAGGAGTCACACTATGTGCCTGAGAATGTTGTTCAAACCTTTCTTGAACTCTGGCAGGCTTAGTGCTGTGACCACTTCCCTGGGGAGCCTGTTCCAGTGACCAACTAACCTCTGGGTGAAGAAACTGTTCCTGATATCCAGCCTAAAGCTCACTTAAGACTGTTTCCTTTGAGCTTTTGAATCACAGAACTCTGGTGTGTACAGTGCAAAGGCACTTGGCCTTAGTGACAGAACTCGAGTTCACAAAGACTTACGAAATTTGAGTGCTGGTTCTGCTTGTATGAACTTTCCTCTACACAACCATTTTGTATCCCTACCCTTTGCACTCCATATTTGAGTTCTTTCTGGACATTTGACAGCAACTTTCTTTCATTTCAGGGATGTGCTTTTAACTGGCTTTATGATAACCAGCCTTAGTTGCTCCATATTCTAGACTACAGAAAAAAACTGCAGTCTTCATATGCTCAGTGAGAACTTTCTAGATTTTATCATCTGAAGAAGTTTTGATTCTGTCAATCTGGTCCAGTGCATGTATCAGCAGACCTTTGTATGCATTTATCTCTGGGCTACTGTGGGACCTGGACTGAATCCACGCACTTGAACTAAGAGCAAATGGCATATATGTCCTATGCTCCGAACAACATCTCCCTCAGGTACATCAAAAAGGAAGGGACAGCTTGTGGGGGGCAAATAACTGGACCTTCAGAGAGAGAAGGGATCACACCGAGTTGAGTGGGACAAGGAAATTAATACATGTGATTGAAGGGCGTGGATCGGCAGGAGAAAAATTGAGGCTAGATGTTATGGAAAGGGTTTGAAATAGATCCTCAAAGGACAGCTGGGATAGAAACAGTGGGGAGGGAAGAGACTTAGGACTCAGTAGGTGAGAAGATGGAAACTGTAAGAGGATGCAAGATGGGAAAACTATAAATGGCTGAACAAATGCATTGGAACTGAGAACCATTCGCATAAAGAGAAGCTGAGCGGAGGCATGAGTGAGAAAAGTGGGCCTGACAAGAAGAAATAAGACTGGCTGGGCAAAAGTTCAAAATGGACATTGAGGATAAAGGGTCTGGGATCTACTAAATATGGAGGCATCTGGTGGTTGAGTGTAGATATAGAGAAAAGCTGAACAAAATGCTCAGAATGGATAGTTTGGACTGGCTGATGAAGGGAAAGTACAGTGTTGGTGAGTTGGAAAAAAGTGGAAGAGGGAATGTCTAAAGAAGACATCTAGAATTATGTTTCTGAAAGCAGACACTCAAAACTCAGAAAATTAGCTAGTTAAATCTAAAAAACCCCAAACTGATTTGTATACACAAATGCCCAGCTCAGCACCCAAACATTCTTAACTTTGCATAAGGCAGAGGAATCAAAGCATTCTGCACAAAGGCACTAGTCGTCAAAGGGCTTCTCATATCAAGAGCACTGCTGCTTACTGCTGGGAAGTTGAAACAGAAGCTCAGAGGGAGCCCTTAAAGCACAGAAACTGCATTCCTTCCTACCACAAAGCCGCTTCCCCAATCCTTTGCATAACCTTGGTCTCCCCAGCACCTCCTCCCACCCTTCTTTCTCCTGCACCACCTCCTGCTAAACCTTATCTGCTCTACCACATCCTCATTCTCCTCCTGTCCATAGACTGCTCTGCTCATTCTCACGTACTGCTTTGGCTCCCCAATAGTAAAAAGTAACACTGTGGGGAACTAAAGCCATGAAGAAGGAGGATGTGGCTGTATGAGTGGAGAGAATGGAAAGAAACACAGAATATAGAGAAAGTTGCCCTGAGAAACCTGATCTAATTGGGCTGCTTTGGGTAGGGGGTTGGATGATGTGACCTCCAAAGGTTCCTTCCAACCTAGGTTGCTCTGTGATCCTGCATCTCATGAGAGGCGTTGGGCTAAGGCAGACACAGATGAGTTATAAGTGAGAAAATGAGAAAGATTATCTGCAGCCTAGTGATGTTTTCATGTTCTTTGGAAGAAGTTCACATTCCCCAGCTCTTGGAATAGGACTCCGATAATTTCGGTTATATACAGACCTCCTTAATACCACAGGCTCAACTAAGCCAACTGAATTGCAACATGCAAATTTGTTAAAGAGGAAAGGTGAAGCTTGGTGAAGTTTTAGTTACTGTTACAGTTGGTTTAAAGAGCAAAGCTCTTTGTCTACTTGCCTGTAGTATATCAGTAGGTTCATTACAGTAGCTTTTTTATTACAAGTGTACATTTTCAGTGTTTTAGGTATGTGGGTGTGCAAAATTATGTAAATCTGATTTGACTATTGCTTAGAACAAGGAAATGTGGTGAGACAGCAAGTTCCACAAAAAATAAATTAGAAATAAATGCAAATTTTGGAATTGGTACCACAATCTGTGCCATCATAGTCTTTTCTATCAGCAATCCATACATTTTAAATACACAAGAGTGGGATTTCCATTGAGAAAATACTCTTCTGGACATTCTCAAAGAAAAAATGCTTATTTTATTGTCACTAGTAATAAAGTCTCTGCTATGAATTTACAATGTGCAGTTAGAGTACAAGCAAAATTTAGAGAAATGGTATAAATAGACTGAATTGAACTGTCATGTGATATATGTACTAGTTATGAAATTGGCACTATAGTTTGAACTAAGCTCAATGATTATGAAGTGAATTTTTTTTTGCAGAGATTCCAATGAGGGAAAAAAAAATAAAAAGAAATGGAAGAAAGATGAAGAAATCAAGTGATACAAAGAGAAAAAAATTACTGAGGCAGGTTTACTGAGGAAAAGAAACCTGCAAAATACAGACTGTAAGCCCTGTTGTAATAACAAGTGAAGACAAATACAGATTATAAGACTTTGTCAGTGTATGGATTTTGAAATGGGGTTATAGAGATACAGTTTCATGAAGCAGGAGACAAAAAAAACCCCAGTAGATATATTAGGGATGTACATATGTATTTTTCAGGAAGTTTGAAGAATTTGATAAATGTAGGCTGTCAGATAAAAACAAATAATAGCACCTTTTCGCTGCATTTCTCTCTGATGTAGGTGTGTAATTGCTCAGATCTAGAAATGTCTAAAACTCTCTTTGACTGAGTAGAATTAAAAAATATATGCTATCACTGTAAATTATTACAAGCAGATTATCCCTCAGTATAGTAAGTGCAATTTTTCTACCACCTACGCCTCTGATGTGTGGCTGGAAGGACTCTCAAATATTTTACAATCAGCATTTTGGATTTAGGTCAGCAATAGTTCTCTGACGAATCTCTCCACAAAAATTGATTAGGAACCACTCAGCAGCTAATAAAGGTGGTTTTTAAAGCAGGCTACAAAGGTCATATATAAGTTGAATGTCCAGCTGTAGTATGAATACTTTCTTTGAAAGAGGATTGATGATCTCCAACAGCAGTGGGCTGCAAAATGTTCCAATGAACTTACGCTAATCATGGGTGATCTCTCCAGATAATGACCTGACTGACCTTTTTCCAGCGTGTCTGCCAGTCTGGTACAGCACCACCTTCAGAGAAAATGGAATGCTTGCTCCTCTGGAATTTTGCAGAACCTGTGATTTTGTCACATTAATTACAGTTTTTTGTCTAAAACAACCAAAGAACTTCTGCTTGCATGTGCAACTGAATGGTGATAATTAAGCTTGATTAGACAGCCTATCATCCGGAATAGTTGGATTGTATGGGATACAAACAGTACTTTGGCAGAAATGCATCATCATTTGGTCTCCTTCACAGCTGCAACACATGATTATTCACTCTTTATGCCACAGATGAAAAATCTAACCAGAAACAGATGGGGAGTAAATATTTTTAGAAACAGTATTTCAAAGTATTAACAAGAGGAAGAGAAAAAGTTTCCAACTTTGGAAATTACAAAAATTTTAAACCTGCTTGTTAAAGTATATTAATAGTATTTTTAAAAAGTTTTAATTATAAATAATACTGCCCCCGAAATATTTTTCTCAGATTCTTCAATTTACACATTACTTGTGGTCAAAAGCAGTATGAAATGCAAATTCTATAATTCAAGTACAAGTAGATGCTCTAAATTAACATTTTATATTAATACACAGTGCTCAAATAACTCATTTAAAAGTTCTTGTTGTTTCTGTCTGAATGCTTATTTTAATTTTGTATTATTTATCTAGCATCTAATTGGTTTTTATGCAAGACTTACTAAGAAAATGGAAAAGTAGTTGTCATTGATCTTAGAAAGCTTTTGATAAGCCTGAAATTGCTTTTGTGATGTCCTAAGCATCTCCACAATTAATTCACTATTTGACTCTTTCCAGTTATCATAGTTTTCCTGCAAGAGGAAATGATCCTTCTCTTCCAAATTATAGCGTCAGAGAAGGATCAGTTCTGCTTTTCAAGCTATGTTTGTGATAAAGATATTTTTATGAGGAGAGGAATTATTACTCTAGTTTTCTTGAATATCTGCAAGTCTGATGAGTGCAAATGTCTTTTATTTCTTTCTAATTCCAAGTCAGTGGTGGAGAGTCATCAATACCAAGCAGAAAAGTCCTGAGTTTCTAGTTCAGCATTGAAGAAACCTATATTATGTCAGTGCTGAGTGTTGTTCTAGTCTTCTGAGAGCTGCCTTCAGTGTCTTCAGCTTCCATCCTAAAATTGCAATATGGATGCAGATGTGGTTTATAGGAGGTAAATTTTTCCAGTGGAATTTTAGAAAAAAAATATCTTCTTTATTTGTTTCATAGATTTGACTTATCTTAACCCTAGATGAATGAAAAATATTTGACTAGGAGAGTATACATGATCCTCCAGTAATTAAAAGTTGAATTGCAAGATTTTTTATAAGTATGAAAGGTAATTTCTATTTGTCATTCTTGTCTTGGATAGAGAAAGTTCTGAAGCCCTTACTTGCTTTTAACTCTCAGTTAATTTTTTTGTTGATCGATATATTTATCGTGGTTATGAACTGGGAAGTAGCACATTGTGATGTTTTTTAAGCAGGAACTTCTTCCTGTTTGGCTCCAAGGAGACACTGTAGCCCAATGCTGTCACCAGACTTTTCACTTCCACAGTGAGATTGTTAGTGTAGATAACACTGACTATGTTTAGATATAGTTTTGAGAACTCAGGTCTATAAAAAGCTCATCACTGCCAACGATTTTTGGTTTCAGTGAGGAGCAAGCTCTGAAAAATTTCAAGTTAATTAGTTAGGTTACTTAGTTATGACTTCCAAATTGTCTTATTTGGCATGATGTACTGCATATCAATATTGTTAAACAAAACCCTTCTCTTCATTCTAGATCTGCCTCATTTCACCTCATATATTTTGGAAGAGTCATGATGTTTTCCTGATTTCTGGGTGCTTGAAAACAATTGAGATACGTTAAATAATGTTAAAATTTAAAATGATAATTTTCTTAGCTTTGATTGACCTTGAATTTCATTTCTATGTTTAGATGTACTGGGTAAATTTACCATGGTATCTCAGGTATTGAGTTATCTTTTATTTTGCATTTTGACTGTAATCTATACAATGAAGTTGTTATTAATTACTATCAGTTGTTTTACTGTAGGGACTAAAATCCACATTTAAAATCTTGAAACCCTTTTGTATTAAAATTCTGCAAAGACATGATTAAATGCAACTTAATTCTAGGAAAGTTTCATAAGCTAAAATCAAGATATCACTGTGGAGGAAGGCCAGAAGAAGCAACAGGAGTAGGAAAATAACTGAAACCACAGGAGAATATGGCTAATTCTTATGTTAGACCAGACGGAGCTATAAATGCTATTCTTGGTATACATGAATAGAAATGATTCAACTGGTAGGGTTTTGTTTGCACTGGAAAAAATAGTGACAAATATATATATCTATATATCTATGTATATTTAAATTTACTTCAGTACTGTAGTCTCTTTCACAGTACTGTATCTCACCTATTATATTTTCTACTGAGTTTGACAGCACTGACAGTGTTTCTAGGTAAATTAAAAAGTATCAACAGATGGAAAAGGCCCTATAGCCCTGCGTGCCTTTTATTCAGACATCACAGAGGACCTATACCTGCATAATTGAATGAGCAAGATTTGTTTGTGAAGTAATCATTTATTATGCAAATACCAGAACTTCATTATATCTAATTTTATTAAATATGTACATGTTATTACTATTTAAAAGAACGAGTATCATTCCAAGATCTGCAAACTTCTCTCTAGCCTTGAGAGCTGCGGCAGAGCCTGTATTAATGCTAGTTTGAAAGCTGAAAGCTATCGCGGTGTCACTGTGGGTGACACAGCACCACCTTTGGAGGCAAAACATCATCGGCTGTATTTTTTAGTTACAATACAATCAAAAAAAAAAAATCTTTCCTGACAATAATATATTTGTACATTGTTTAAATTTCCCAACTCTGTCCAACTTGGAGGATGGAAGCAAAGAATTCTGTCATGGTTAGGATTCTCAGATGCTGAAGAAGGGAATTCGTACCAGAAACATCTGATGGTAAAGGCTGTTTAAAGGCAGAGAAGGGGGCACAGGAAGCAAAGAGAAAGATGTGTCCATCTCCTCTGCTGGTATCCAGCCAGGAGGTCTTAATATTTTTCTTGCTTAGGGTCCCATGGCCTCAGTGAGGATAATGCTTCCTATCAGTGACCCCCCTTCCCATCACCTCTCCACTAAACTGGTAGGTCAACTTCTTCTTAACTTTCTTGACCTCCCCTGTCTTGCCATAGTTTCTCAAAGCCCGTGCCATCTTCTGGTAGGTCATTTTCTTGCGGTTGCCTTTCTGGATGCCCCAGCGATGTGCCAATGCTTCTTTGTGTTTGGAGGAGAACTGGAAAGTACCTTTTTCCTTGTCCACCCACCAGATGCTGTCCTTCATGTCCCCACTGCGAAGAAGGTCCAGAAGGAACTGATACAGACGTATCTTTTTCTTACTGCCTGTGTGAGAGTCAAAGAAACCCAGTGGAGCATTATGATTTGTGTACAGTTCCTGGTGAAACAGCAGAAAGTATATAACTGTTTCAGCTAGCTTGTAACTTCTTCAGTTTGCAGCATTTATAACAATAAACAGTGTAACACTGTGAGGACATAGTGTGGATTGATGTACCAAGAAGAAAAAGCAAGAATAAGTAATTCCAAAGGCCAAACCCTTGTTCTGAAATTAATTTTCTAATTAGAAGCTAATTGAAAAACGTTGCTATTTTGACACTGATCTAAATCTATTTTTGGTAGGTTATACAGAATGTGACTCTCAGGTACTGAGCAAAGAGAGCTAAATATTTTTTAAAATCAGTTCTTGCTTGATCTTCTTGCCTTGGTTTTCCCATCTCTTAATGGAATTTGGAGTAGAAATAGCAAAAGCCCTTTCCATTCAGGAAGCCTGAATAAGCAAAGCAGAAGGAGGCAGTGGGAGTACATGAAGAAATGAGATATAAACACAGTTATGGCTGTAAAAGATTAGGAAGACAGAAGGGTGCAAGGACTCAGGGAAAGGAAACCTATGGCAGTGGGATAGAACACCAGTACAGCAGTTCTACAGTTTTATTAATTATCATCAAGGTAATATAACAGCTGCTTACCACATGGCTTGACAAAGTCCCTCTGTTTTCACTGACCTGTTTCTCCATGCATAATTCCGGGCCCAGGGTCCATACCATCATTCTCCCCATCTGATACCTCCAATGGGGGACTCTGTCTCTCCATGTCCTCCTCATCAGAACTGGGCTGAGGTGGAGAGGAGTACTGTAGGCACATCCGGGGCAAATAGGACACCTTTTGGAGAACAGAGTAGCAGAGGGAGGAGACAGTGATAGAGAGTTGAGCATCAGAATTAAATGTAATGAAGAGAATTACAGAGAAAAGGGGGGAGAAAATAAGAGGTATATGAGTGTTTAGTGTAATAATGAGTGACTTAGTTGTTGACATTTATAATAACTACCATCCAATTAAGAAACACTTTCAGATAACAGTCAACACTTACACACGTACAACGAAGCACTTTAAAAAGAGGGAAGGAGGAATAAGGTTATTAAAGTCAGAACTTTCCCATATGTTATATCCTTGCAAGTAATATTGCCCGTCTTCCCCTACATGTCCCCATAGCTTGCATTCTACCTAATGCCTTTCTGATCCCTGTTGCTTATCCCCAGAGTAAAATTGCTTTTGAGAACAACTATTTTCTAACACAGTCCTTCTGGAAATATTCTTTTAAATTTGAAAGAGCTGAACAGTTCTGCCTTAGTATGGCTGGCTTTAGCTCTGTTGTCCTCTTCCTTTCTCAGGCATACTACCTTCTGACAGCACTGAATCCCTACAGGACTGCATCCAAATCTGGAGATGGGGTTACACAGGTCTGTCAGCTTTCTGTCTTGAATTTCCCCCATGAGGAGGGGAATAGCCTTAACACTAAGATAAAGGATACACCATCTTGGCTCACATTCTGTTTTCCTGAGTGGCTATCTGAAAATTCCCTATTAATGGGGATTTCTCATCTGCAAATCTAGCAAGCAAGTTTTCTTGTGTTAAATTCTCTTGCCCTTATACAGAGGTGTTGTTAGGAGTAGTGTGGAATATACCTCAGCTCTGTAAATTCTCAGTTGCAATCTAGTTTGCTAGGGATCGCAACTAGTTGTTACGAATTGTGGCAGCTTCTTATATAATAATGAGAAACAGATCAGTCTGAGGGGCAGGGAGTAAGAACCCAATTCCTTCATTACAAAAAACCAGCCAACATCCCCCAAACCCAGCAGCATATAGAATGTAGTTTTAATGAAATGGGACAGATAATAGTCCTTGAAGGTGAGCTTCTTTTGAACTGCTTTTCTTTTCCTTCACCGAGAAAGGATATCTTGAACCTGGTACCCTTCCCCTGGGACTTCAGGCACTTGAAGTGGGGAGTGGGTGTTCATGAGTCACACCGCCCACCCCATGTTGGACTTTGCTGAGTGGTGCTTTTCAGACGAGTTTTGCACCAGCTTAAAATGTCCCAATAAGGCATGTGCAAAGGGCTGGTTTTGGGGTGCAGCAGCTGGCGGTTAATGAGTCGGCAGATTGGCTGGAGCGGATTGGGCAGGAAGGGCAGGATTGGGCAAGAGTGTGTGTAAGCTTCCTGCCAGATCCCCAAGAGCAAAACTTCAGCCCTCACCACAGAGTCACCTTTAGCTTTTTGCAGTTAAAAAAGCTGCAGTTTCAGGGGTGGGAAGGAACAGAGAAGAGTGCCATGGGGGAAGGGGAATGAGAAGGTGGGACAGTGTCTTACAGGGGAGGAGAACAGACATTGGTGCCCCTGAAGATAAAAAGGTTGTGGAAACCTGGAATGCTCTGGGAGGTGGTGTGGGAGTAAGGAAACTGCCCTTCTGGGAGTGGAGTGGGATGGTGGGAGAGTGTAGTGGAGGAGGGAGGGGCACAGTGTCTCACAGGCAAAGGTAGTTGCAGAGGCCTGCCTGGCGAGTTAAGTAAGCTTTTCCCATGCTGTCCCCGCTTTTCTCGACTGTTGTATTTTTGCTTACATTTACTTTTCACCTGAAACTCAACATAGGCCAATACAGTATCACACAGTTATGTTACACAGAGTCACAAAGGACATGTCAGTGTGTTAGAAAGAGCCAGGTTACTAATGCAATTCTGGAGAAAGAAAACTTAAGAAACTATTAGCTACTTTCCATATTCTGTTGTCTCAGGGGCTGTGGCACCTGTGTGAGGTTTTCCTCTTTCTAAAGTTCTTCTCACGTTTTTTCAACTTTTTCTTTCATTCTGCCTCCAGAATTAATATTCTTTTCTTATATCATTATTTGTGAGACCCCTGTTGTCAGGCTAACAAAACTTTTTAAAGAAATCTTGTTCAAGAGCAGCTTAAGCCTCAAACTTGATTTCACAAAACAACATGATATCAACAGAAAATTGAAGAAATATATTTGAGTGTTATTCCTTTATTTACAAACTCTAATTCTGATGTTGCATGACAAGCTTGGGTTTAGTTAGTAACTGGCAAATTCAGTGGAGGATTAAAACTTGCTTCCTGCTTCTGTTTCTTTGCCTGGGACTGTGACTGAGACACATTGGAGGGTAAAACTCAGAGCATGCCAAGTACCATTTGCATGAGCTACTGTAGGAAGAAATCTAAAGTAAAAAGCCAAAGGCCTCCAGCTGGTAAGGAAAAGGAGGGTAATGGTGAATTCTACCTCCTAACATCTGCTGCTTTGTGTGGGGTGGGGCAGAAAGAGACCACAGTGCTCTTTATTGAAAGTTGTAACAAAATTAGTTCCCTGCCTTTCATCCTGAAACGAAAGATGATAGCTGAGTAGAATGAATTGAGATAAGCAGAAGCACCCCCTCTTGTTTTCCTGTTGTGCTTCCAAAGACATTCATAAAGGGACTCATTTTCATCCTTTGCCCTTGGGCCAGAGATAATGGTTGGTCATTAGGTATTAGTAGTTGCATCAAGCAACTGAAATGACTCGAAGCTTTCCACAGACTGCTGTTCCATGAAGTATTTTTTATATTTGTAATTTTCTGTTCCTAATTCTTTGTTTGATCTACATCTTATATTTTATTCCTGATTTTTTCAAGGCTTGCAGCCAGTTTCCTGTGGACAGTGTTAACTTGCTCACTCCATTTTTCTCTTCTTTCTTTTTGATTAATACACTATTTATATACAATTTCAGCTTGCTTTGAACAAAGAAACCCCAAATGACAACTCCATGCATGCGGTTTGTCTCATGAAGTTTCAGCAACGGTACCTTTATATGCAGAACTGTAATCAGCAAACGCTTTTTTCTCTGACTTCAGTTCTACGCTGTCTTGTATTTAGGACATTGTGTGTACCTTGCCAGCCTTGGAAACTCCTTAGCACAAGATCACTCAGCTTTCTACTGCTCCCAGAAATGACTTTGGGCACTTTCTTGTAGGATCAAGAGTTAAATGTGATCTCAACACCCGCAATATCTTTGCAGTATGATGGAACCCCTTATAATTTCAGCATTAGTGAGAATTCATTGGTGCTTTGGTGACTATCTTTACAGCATAATGATGTATCTTTTTCATACAGGGAAATGACTGGCTTCAAGTAAAAACCAAGCAAAGACAGGACAGTGTGTTTTGGCTTGTGACTTGTTTACTCCCATGTAGAAGTACAAGTGGGTCCTTCTTAGCCTGTGGTAAAATTACTAGTGACTTGTTTTTGTTAGCATTTCTAACACAAGTCATGTAAAACTGTTAGAATTGCTTGGAAATATTTAAAACTTTTCTACTGCTTCAAGGCTCAGAATACTTCTCGGAAGTCACAGCTACCCTTGATAGGATGATGCAAAGCTTCTCGGGTCCAGTTCATCTGCAGAATTACAAAACAGTTGATTTTCATTCCAAATTAAACAAAAATTTGAAATTCCAAACACCTCCACAAAATGCAATTATCTTTTTAGACAGTTTGAGGAACATGACTTCTCATTATCTAGGTAAAAAGAATACTTAAACCACATTTGTCCCAAGAATGAAGAGTCTTACATCAAGTGCAGGAAGAATTTGTGCAATTAATTTCAGCAATCTCTTTCATATAAGAGCATGCATCCCCTAATGCATTATTTTCCTTAGCATTAATTGTCATCCAAAATTCTGAGTAAGTGCTGGTAACCATACCTGATGGTTGAGTCCGATGTGTGTGGTTGGGATTGCAGAATCCAAGACATGCATTTGTTCAATCTCCATGTGCCTGTACAGCTGCTGTAGCTGAGGAGGCTGCACACTCTGCAGTTCTGTGAAGTGGTTGTCTCCAAAGGTCTCAAACTCACTGTGCATGTGGTGTGGATGGTATTCCCAGTAATGATCTAAAGAAAGTAAAAATAGATTGTCATTACAAGATTAAGAAATTTGGCATTTACCTGGATTTCACTGATTCTTTCTCCTGTTACTGTCCTTTCTGCTCTCTCCACACCATCCCTGTTGACCTGTCTCCAGTGACAATCTGTATAGATCCCTGTAAAATTTCTTTTCCTAGTCTCATCAGTTCCTGTGGCTGGAAAGTAATACGTAGGCCACTTTAATTAGGACAATACTCTTAGATGATGAGATGGATTTCAATGATAATCTAGCACAAGATGCAAAAGACATTAATGTTGGCAACTTTCTCAAGAAAAGACCATAACAAGTTTCAAGACATTTTCAATCTTGATGCAACAAATTCTACTGATTTACATACTGTCATATTCTTATTATACTCTTCCTCAATGCATGGAAATGAGGAGGTGGAAAAATTTAAAGATTGTTCTGCAGTTATCTTCAGTCTTTATTTTACTGTACTAGCAAAATTTCAGGAATGCTGCAGAAAAGGCACTTTTTTAGATATTTTCTGTTATCACGTTGTTATATCACACATTTTTAAGTAGCAATACTAGAAAATAAAAGGATAAACTTTTATAGCAGTCTGATGCATGTTGTTTACAGTGTGGCTAAATTCTGATGCAGACTTTTTCTCTACCATTTTTATCTCTTCAGAATATTTGAAATTCCTGTGACAATTTGGATTTTTTTTTCAAAACCATAAAGAAGTACTTAACCACCATCCTGTTTCCTGATTCATTTACCTTTGAAACTAAATTCCATATAATTTTCAGTTTTAGATTCTGGGGTTTTTACTTCAGCATAAGCCTTTAAATTTTTTAGAATTTCGTACTTGCTGCTCAAAATTTAAAATCTTCTAGAAGAAATGTGGAGCACTGTAAATTCTATTTCTCTCTTACAGACAGTAGCTGCATACTTAATTGTGCACACATTTATGTGCAATCTGTTTTTAAAATCAATGTCAGCATCATGTCCTCTGCTCTGACTGAAGTAGAAACTAACCTTCCATAGTTTAACTTTCCTTGCATCATTTATGCCTGGCTGAAATGTCTTTATTGTATTCAGTATAGCAGTTGTAATTTATTCCTTACTATTCCAAGTTTTCTTCTCTTGTATTATTATAAATAATTTCTGTCCTACCCTTCACATGTTTTCAGGTCATGTACTGTCATGTACCCTTGCAATCTCCTTCTAATTATCACTTAACCCAGTTGCATGTATTTAGGCCTCAGTCTTTCAATACAAATCAGTACATTCACTACTCTAATCTTACTTGTGCACTTCTTCAAGCTCCCTCCCAGCTGCTGACATCCTTCTGATAACAGAACTGAACACAGTGCTCTAAGTGTTGATGTACTGAATTTATAGAGGAACAATTGTCTCATTCTGGAATATGATGTTATTGTGTATGATATTATCTGGACACTAATATGCTATGAATATTTTTTCTGAAATACCAGTTTCATTCTTTCTTTCAACTTCTATCTCCTCATCCTTCCCCACTTATGTTTCAAATAATTAAGTTTAATCTCATTGAGGATTTGAAATGCAGGAGAGTAACTAGAATGTGGCTTCCTTTAGAGGGAACTCAGTGATATGCTTGTATCAAAAATAGTTGTACCTAAAAAGTTGTGCATTCTTTTAGCTGCCTTTATGCTCAGACCAGTAGAAATTTACTTGAAGGCTCTATCAGATAATTTAAGACACCAGGGATTATTTTTTTCCTTCCTGCTTTTCTGATTCATGGATAAATCACCTCACTGCATAAGAAATGGATAGAAAGGTGCTTACAAAAGCATTCAGGAAGCTGGCTGCATTACTTTGTAATTTCTTTGGTTTTTTGTGTGGCACTTTGTGTGCGCTGTGTATGAATTTTATAGCCGCACGGTAATTACAGTACACGGTAGCACTTCTTCATGTTGTAGTGCTAGAGAAAAATTTTGGTTTCTCTGGTAAAAAATTGGGTTTTATGGGTGCAAAGAACCCAGATATTTTTTACATCCACATCTGCACCAACCCAGGAAATGTCAGTGTGTGAGTTTGAATCCATAGACTGTCTAAGGCTGTGTCTTGATAGGAAGCTTTGGGCACTTTCAGTGTGCAATTTTTCCATTTAGTTGGAAGACTGAACCACACTAACTTGCGTTTTTTCTGTGTTAAATTGCCACAGACTTCTCTAAGTAGAGCCAACCACTGAGGCCCCATATACCATGTTACTCTGCACACTAAAGTGTTGAGAATACATTGCAGGAGTAATCTAAACTCTTCTTCCTTAAAATGATCTGGCTCTGCTCACTGTGCGGAAAGTGCTCTGTCAGATGGCAATGTATATTCCCAAAGACCCCTTGTCATTGATAATCTATAACAGAGAATGAGATCAATGCAGAATTGTTAGGATGACAAAGCCCAGGGAAAGGTCTCTGAGGCTGTCAATGGTAGATCTTCAGCTGTGGAATTTCTTACCAGCAGTAACTATAGTGGTCAAGAGAGAACACAGACCATTTCCAACATGCATAGCCATGAGTATCTGTGCATGCTCCAAGTGGTCTACTTTGGATTCTTCTAAAATATTCTTTTATCGTCAGTCGTGTTTCTATACTGTAAGATACCTCTTAGTTTTTTGAAGCCTATGACAGGGTTACCGCTGCTCCAGAACTTTTTAAACTTTTCCCTTGGCAAATAAATTAACCTATGGAACACTATTTATGCATACTAAGATTAATCACTATTTACTATTTACCCTATTCATTACTAAATTTCTTTATGATGGATTTTGGTGCTGCTGTAAAAATACAGTAATATAACAGTACTATTAACACTGCATTTAGGACTTAAAGTGATCACATAATAATATTACATTACAAAATAAATCTGTCAGAAATTAATTCAACATAATTTTGTCCAAATATTCAACTTGTGACAGGAGGAAAGGTCCATACTTCTTCCTAAATCATTTATAATTTCCCAGTGATGCTTAGGAAAAATAATATTGGTTTAGTAACATTAAAAAAGAAATTCCAGATCTGTCTTCACAAGCCCCTCTGTGGTGAAGTTATTGCACATGAAAATATATAAAAAAAAATCATCTAAATATCTGTGTCTGCTGATATTCGAGTTATCAGCAACTATTTACTTCTGTGTTTTTTGTTAGTGTCACATCAGTAACACATAGCAATTCTATTGTTTTCTCTAAAACATGAAGGTGGAAGGAAGAAAAAAGACAGGAGAGAAAAATTATAGAAATGGAAAGTGTCTATTCTTTGGGTAAAGGAAAATGTCATTAAAAGCCAAGCTATAGCTACACAATGGAGTCATTATGAGACATTTCGTGTGAAGTGAAAGAGGATGTGAAAAAAATTCTCTTTTGTAGAGACATGGAGATCATGTTTGTTTTGGTCTTGCATGTAGTGAAAGGTTAGAGGAAGGACAGTCACGGATTCTGAGCTCCCTCCCATGACAGAGAGGATGTTAGCCTGCTGGGAAGCATTAGTGGACCTAAAGGCATTGTGTTAATATTCACTATAGAGGTAGATTCTCACTTCATGAGTGAGAAAACATGACTGAACTTTCTCCATTATCTTCTGATCACTGTAAATTGCTTTGCTCTTGTAATAGCTGAATAATGTTAGAACCAGCAGTTAGAATTTGAAATAAGCTTAAGGAAGGTATTTATAATAAAAGTGGAGCAACAGGCTAAATTGGCATTACGCAGTGCAAAATCATGCAGAAATTCATGAGCCAGCTATTGAACCGGAAATGTAACAGCTCTGTCAGCACAGCGCTCTGCCTTGTCTGAGGAGATGACTGCTGGCATGGCTGTACTTGTGAGGGCTGGGCTAGTGTTTCTGGGTGGTTCTGTCCTGGGTGGTACAGATTTTCCAACACATGATGAACTAGGAGAGGGTTTCTTGCACAGTCCCATATTGCATAGCTTACATGTTCCAACGTCTGAAAAAACAAGTCAAGGAAAAACCCCATGGAGGAAATGAGAAAAATATTGAAGGACACTGGAAAATTAATGTCTTGATTAATGTCTTGAACAGAATCATTCTTGGGAGAAATGCTGTGCTTCTAAGCAGGGCACCAGTCTTATCTATAACATTAGGATCTCATTAACTCCCACTTTACAAACTTCATTATTTTAATACTTCCAAATGTTCAAATACCTATGAGTCAGACCCCAACAAATCATGAGAATGGCTTTGAGGGAAGGGGATTTTTTAGTGAAGTTTGGAATTCTTTCTCTCTTTCATATGGCATTTAAGACTAAGATTCTCATGTTTGGACTTTCCTCCACTTCTGCATGAGCCAGGATCCTAACAAAATCAAAGCTGAGATTCTTAAATGATCATATTACTCCAGGAGGTGGGACAAAAATAAAACCCCAGATCACGGGATCTAGTAAGTTCCATGAGGCTAGAAACAAAAGGAACAAGGGTCAGCATTCAGCTTCGTACAAAAAGTGATTTTTCCTAAACCAATAATGTTTAGTAATAACTTAGAGACAAAGCAGCAGTGGAATTTTGTAATTACTAAGATTGCATTAGTGTTACAAAATATGCTGTGTTACATTTACAGACTTACAAGCCCAGGCTTGGGTGATGGACTAATACATGATCACTTGAAATAGCTTCTGTCCTGCATGACTGTGTCTCTGTTTATTACAGTATTTAAAAAATAGCTAAACTGCAGTATAGAAAATAATTGCACACAATACCTGTGGTGATGAACATATTATGGTGCATTTTTGAATCTATTGTTCACTTACTGGCAAAGATTTCCTACGTATTATATTAGTGGCACACTGGTTTTGTGCTTTTTGTGCCTCTTCATGTAAATACGGAGTAAGGTTGCCTTCAGCATTGTGTTTGAGAAAAGTGACAGTAATGCAAGTAGCACAGATCTACAGATTAAGATGTTGCCATCTCCCTTTCACAAAATTAATTTGCTAGCAGTGAGAGAGAGGTGGTCTGATGATTACAGAAAACTTTCCATTTCTTTAGCAGTCCGTTGTCGGCATAATCAGAAGTATTATTCTGTCTAGTATAATCTATTTACATTAACTGGTAGTTTTACATTGACGTCCATAGTGCTACTGAGTGACCTGCAAAATTATTTTCTATGCATTGCCAGTCATCTCACTGTCCCCCAAATTGAACTCCTCTCTCACAACTCTGTTCTTTTTTCTACTTTTCCCCCCTATCTGATCAGGTTCTGTCTCTTTCACTGCTGTCACTGCAGCACTTTATTTATTCCTTTTCCCTTCCATTTTTCAATCACCGTGCTTTTATCCTCATTGCTCTGAATGCTTAGTACATATTTCTGAAAGTATTTTGTGGCGTCCCTTTCCTGCTCTTCTGCATGGCGCTTCTCAAGATCCACTACTTCTGTCATGTAAACAAAATGAAAGCCAAAGTTCACTTTTTCAGTGTTTATAAGAAAGAAGAAAAATGCGTTAGTTCAAGGTTTTCAGTCTTCATCTGTATTCTTTGGTTGTTCATGGCTTTTTTGGACTGTGAGAAATGCAGGACTGCATAGGGCACATTAGATATTTAGACACAACCAACTACAACATGGTTGCTTTCATAAATAAAAATTTGATTGAAATGCTCAGGCTGGGCTCAAGTTGCCTCTTCCATAACCACTTACTGTCGGAGTTTAAAACACTAAACAGGGTTTTTTTGGGTCTTTTGGACAAATGCACACAACTTTGGGGACAGACAAATTTCTGTTCAAAGTGGGTATTTAGGTACTGCTTAGACTATAACCCATATAGGTAACTACTCAGTTTTTATTGTGTTCATTAGGATGAGTAAAAACATGTTAATGATCTGAGAAATGTACCTTAGGAACAGCCTTCCAACAGAAAAATGGGAAGTAAACCAGAGGGGATGATAAAATTATGAAAAATAAAGAGATGTTTCTGCTAGAGGTAGCCTAGATGTAATGACAGAGAAGTTATTTCCCAGAGCTTTTTCCTACAAGGCATCTTTTATATTTATTGTTTAATTGTCACAATTACCTTTTGAGATAACCAATGTTATCCTCATTTTATGAGTGTGTAAACAGCTACAGGGTATAATGTAAAAACCCTGAATTTCCATGCGGAATTTGCTGGGTTTGATTAGTGTGACTAACAGATGCCATGAGATAACTTATAAAAACTGAATTAATTCTTTGTCTCCAGGTGTTAAGAATGCCATTGACATTTCTTGAATACAATGTAGAGAACAAATTTAGGTAGGTATCTTCTTCAGCTGAATGCTCAGAACAATCCTCTACTGTAACTCACTGTTCCTTAAAATAGCTTCTGCTGCCACAGGCAAAACAGTGCTATGCTGTGAGTAGTTAATGTGTTAAATTAAACAGAAATGGGTCTAGTTGCTCTATCAGTGGGAGTCTTTCAGGGAAACTCCAGAATTTGCAGGGACTGCGACAAGTAATACAGTAGAACGGTGCTTTTCCTTCCTGAGTCAATATTGACTCAGGTATTTCCAGGGTGGTGTTGCTGGACCATTGTATTTCACAGGAGACAAAATTCACAAAACAAGACTTCACCTCTGCATTGATTTAGAGTCCAGTGCAGTGCCCAGAAAACACCAAAATATAGACACCAAAGCTTTGAAATCACATACACAAATTGAAGTAATAAACAATTATACGGCATTTTTATACTGAGCTGTGTTTACATACAAACAGCTACAAGGAAGTTTTACATAGATTTAGAGAGAGGAAGTACTTGGGTGTACTGGAGGAAGAGTGAAAGTTAAAGCTAGGTGTGGCAGCATGCAAAAGACTTAAAAAGAAAGAAAGAAATATATGGAGTAAAAAAGGCCAAATACCAAAGAAATCTAATTAAAATAAAGGCAAAAATAGTTTATCTAGGACCTTAGTCAGATAGGAAATGGAAATGGAAACACAAGAAGAGAAATACAGTATTGCAAATCCATGTCCTCAAAGAGTTGTGAAACAAGATGAGTGCTTTTGATCTGCAGAGGAAAGTAAAAATACAGCAAAGACAATGAAGGATAGAGATCATGAGATCCTATCTTCCTGGAAGCTCTTTGCATCATAGAGTGCTTTCTAAAATTCTGTTTCAGAGAAACCCTGTTGCAGTTGCTGGGTTGGAACAGAACCATTAAGTGGAATAAAATAACATTGGTTTCTGATTTGAAAATATGTGTCTATACATTATAGATCACTGCAAAAAATTTATTCTTTCCTTGGATGTCCTAAATCTGTTTTCCGTGAGCCTTTCTACTCCAAGGAGATATTTTTTGACTTACCACCATGGCTCTCTCCGTCACTGTTGAGATACTGGTAATAGTCATGGGGCTGTCGGTAGAGGTCTGACTCATAGGGTACCATATCTTCAGAGGGCTGTAAAAAGAAGAGGAATTTTTAGAACCATAAGTTTACACAAATCTCTTCCAAATTATTCACATAGTTAGTGAAGGGGTGATGTCAACCCATTTTATATTGCCTAGGGAAAGAAAGGGGAGATTTCAAGGTATTTTTGAATCAGCAGGAATAAAATGCATGACACCAAACACTGGTTTGAAAACAAAAAAAAACGAAAAAGAGTAATCCCAGTAGAAAAGACACCCAGTTTGTGTAGCAGAACTTGTCCTGTGGTAATACACAAGTCCTTGATATCCCACACCCGGGCCTTCTGAGGATGCTGTTTAGGGCCCTTGTGAACATCAGGCACAGCATGGCAGGGAAATATTTTCTTTGGTAGTAGCAAATTTATATTGTTTTTTAAATTGTTATTATTATAGTTATAATTGTCATAGTTGTTATTGTTGTTATTGTTGTCATTATAGTTATTATTATTATTATTATTATTATTATTATTATTACACACAAAAGAGAACGCTGAAACTTGGCTAAACATATAATTCTGATTATTTTTAGGAGGTCTGACTAAATGGTGGCAGTTTGTATGCAGGTAATAACATTGATAGAGGGCATAAAACCATTTTCTTTCTTGATTTTTGTCCAAAATAAACTCTAAATGTTTGCTGGTTCCAATCAACTACACAGGGCTCTTAGATATGTGCAGAGAAGGCTTAAAAACTCCAAATGTGGGGCAAATACTGAGTTGTGACCTATTGGATGCTTAACTGTAGAGTTAAAGTTCTCTCTATCTCCTTAGAACAGGTGATATGGGGTTACTTTCCCACTTCTCTTTCTCCCCAGGCCTAGTATTCCAGTATGAATATTGATTAAGATCTTATGTTGTTGCAATAAAGGTCATCTGTTTATTATTAGTTTTGCACAGTTTCATTGCTTCACTTAATGTTCCTTCTTGTTTTTTTGCAGACTGAGGAGTTAGAGAAGGACAAGGTACTCCATGGGGTTTTGTTAAACTTTAGTCCACTTAAGTTTGTTACAATACTTTCTTCCAATCTGAACAAATTCTTGTGGTGTCAACAGCAAAGGAGAACTCAAACACCTTCTTGCTTTTTCTTTTGAAAGGAAATTATTTCTAGTAGGTATTAATAGAAACATTTTAATTCTATTAATGACTAACTTTAAAGGACAAATATTTAAAACAACATGATAACTTACATGACGGACATATTTTTTGTGTTAATATGTTGATATACCTATCTGTATATCTCAAATCCTTTATCTCCCTCCATGAATCTGTCTCATTTTTGGAACATCTGCATTTTGTAAGCTTATGCTATGGTTACAGCATGACAGAAATGCAGGCAAGCTTCTCTTTTCTTCCTTCTCTAGCCTACTTGAGAACATGAAACCTAAGGTAGCAGCTGCCATTAAAATCCAGATGGAGGTAGTAGATAAGCTGCTAGCGAAAGGAAAAGACTTTTTTCTTTCTTTAATTCTTCTGGTTAACTCCTTCAGTGCTTTCTGTTGGAATTTTGGAATTTAAAGATTGTCTTTTTCTGAGGATTAAGACATTAGAAAACATACCAAGCCCCCCCAAAAAACCCAAAACCAAAACAATAAAACCAAAACCAAATCAAAACAAAAACAAACAAACAAAACCCCAAACTTTCAGGATTTACTTTAGACCTTGGTTAATCCTTAGTAGCAGTCATGTGCTGTATTAATGTATAATTAAAATGCACTGGTAAGATTGTCTAAAAATTCATGGCTTCCAGAAAATACACACTAAGTGGGAATCAGATCCATGGAATATTCAAAGACTCAGGAGAAAATCCATTGCCTAGCTGTCAGCTCCAAATATAGTTGTTGGTGATGGATAATTGCTTTGGGGCAATCTTGAGAAGATGACAACCCACAATAAAGACAATCTAAAGGAAAGACTAAGGAAAAGGGGCAAACTGTCATTTAATTGTGTTCACAGCAGGAACACCAGTGAAGAGACTCTTCTCATTTCTAGTCTCCAGAGGACGTAGACGCAGCCTCCATTTCCAAATCTATGTGATTCTGATAGAATTGCCCTTCATCTACACAGAGATTTAATGCTAAGCTGTTTTCCGGATTTCAGAGGGGTAGTCAAAGAAGTCAGTACAATGTGCGTTCTCTCTGATGCCTCTGGCTTTTCTCTACGTATTTTCTTGGTGTTCTCTCTATGGTTATATGTATTTACTCATCTCCATTCCTTCGACCTTTGGTGTACTCTGATCTCTGACAAGAAAAAGTAATGAGACTGTAGTTTGCTCTCTTTAGGATAAAGTTCTGAATGGAATTTCTACTTTTCATTGTCGTTGCAAGTTAGCTCACCCACTCCCCTATTTCCTTTCTATAAATATATACTTCCTGTTAAGTAACACCAACCTGAAAAACATATAAACTTGTGCCTTCATATTCAGAATGGTAAATTTGTTAAAACTCAAAGGAAAGCGTTCATATTGTATGAAAGGGGAGACCTCAACATCCAAATGGATAATGCATATGATATTAGTTGGGAAAAATGGAGGTTAAAAAAGCTGTATAAAGGTATATAGTTTGAAAGAAAAATCTTTGTTTCTTTTCAACTAAAATACTAGAAACTGACAGAAATTATTAAAAAAAAAATATCATACCTAAATGCATCCAAGTTTGTAACTCTGATAATTATTTAGCCAAAAGTAAACAAATTTCCTAAGGGATCAGTTTCCTGTCAATCTAGGCTTAATTTGTTAAAATTTCCACAGCTACATCAAAGTATGTCACTCACATCTTTACAGAAGTATAGCTTGGTGAGAAGGCCAAGCATCAGTCCAAAAGTAGATAACAAATACACATTTTAGACACAGGAAATAATATTTGACTTTTCCTAATTATATTTTTCCTTTGTTGTCTCTTCCTAAAGATTTTCCAACTCCCCCATTTCAGACCAATATACATTAACAGGCAATAAAGTCTCACAGTCTGAGCTGAGAATGAAGTATTTTACCATTCAAAAACTACTTTTACAAGTTCAGATGTGTATTCAATGATTAGAGCTAAAGGAAGGTGTGCTAAATAGACTCTTAAAACAGTGATTCACTTAATATTTACAGATCCAGCTGGCTGCAGAGTGAGTTGCAGATACTCAGCATCTAAGAGTCTGCTTTTATATAGGGCATTGGGGTACTATAAGCTCTGTTTTGAAAGTTTGGGGCTTAAAATATCTTTAGTATGGATTCTTGGAATTTTTGTCCTTGAATTAGTTTTCTGTGCAGTGATCCATTTGATAAAATAGACATGTGTATATCCTTGTTAAGTCATGCAACCTGGACCAATCTGTCCACACAAATGACTTGTAAAGACACTATTTTCCATCTTGGTGTCTGATCTTCAAAAGTACAGTAACTAACAGGGGAAGAGGTATATTAAATATTTAAAAAATTGTTTATCAAAAACTTAATCAGATAGTGGTAAAAGGAGATAGTATAGAATGTATTCTCTCTGATTATCCTGTGGGAAGGTGGGATTTTTTTCTCCTATTCATTAGAGAAGCTATTTCCAATAATCTGTTTTTAATTGTTTCTGTTTTTTTTTAATAGGGGGTTGTTGTTCTTTTTTTTTTTAAGTTTCATTAAAAACTCTTTCTCTAGTTAGAGAGAAAAGGCTTCTCCATGTACTGTTGTTGCCTCTTTTACCAATCTTTACCCACTTGCCCCCTCTTTCTCTGGAAGTCCCCACCCACACACTTATTTCATCATCTTACTGATAGCACTTCCATGACACTGAACTGTTTTGTTTCCCATGACAAAAACCAAAGAATGGCTTATGTTACAATGTAATATATGACTGATGAGAAGCTATCAGTTGTTTTCATGTAAAAGAGTGACAGAAAGCTTTGTTAGGAACTCATAATTGTCACAGACTTTCACAAATGAAGAGTGGCCTTCATCTTCCATCTTTGCCTGAAACTCTAGGGAAAAGCCACAAAACTACTCAGAGAAAGCATGGTTGGCATTGGTTAAGAGAGATATATTGAACTTAATAGCAGTCTGAAAATTCTTGCTATTCACCAAGACTTTGTCAGATGATTCCAGGCAATTGTAAATTCACTAAATGATGATCTTTTTTTTGTTACCTTGATATAACTATTCAGTGGCACGTGATTCAGAAATACTTCACACAATTTCCAGTGATGTGCTGCCAAGTTTTAAGGCCAAGATTGACTGTATTTTCTTGGAAACAAATTACAGTATAACTATTTTAGAGAAGATGAGTAAAAATATTAGCATGATTACTCATTGGGCCAGCCTCACTGGACCGTGTTGGCAAAGCAGTTATGTGGAACAGAGTACTTCTGTGGGGCATTTTTGCTCTCATGCAAAAATACTTAATTCAAAGCTGTGACTACAGCTAAGTAGCCAAAGGTGGCTACTTAGAGATTCATGTATAACTGGGACCCTCTTTAAGTCAATGTGTTTGACTTAATAATTTTTTAACTCATAGCACATCTTAGTTCTTCATGCATTGGAAGACATGGAGCCAGTTTGCAGAACTTCCCTTTACAAAATTCCTAATTTTCAGATGAAGATAGAATACTCCTAAACCATTTAAATAATGAACCTAAACCATTTTCCAAGTGAAGGGTAAGAGTTTCCTAGCATAGTCAAGAGGAAGGCAGTTACAGACCCACCCTCAACTGAACGGGGAGGGGTGGAGGAGGGAAGTATTGCAGCAGAAAACCTTGCCTAGAAACAGGCCTATGTCTCCCCTTTGAAAAAGCCCCAGGAGACACAAATAAGTAGGTCTCTAGCTGGCAGTGTCCAAAGCACACTTAAAGCAATTTTGAAAGTACAAACAACAAAATTGTTAATTTTTGGACATTTTATTCACAAAAATAAAACTTAAATTGCCCTATCAAGTGCTTCTGTAAGGTGTAGTTGTATTTTTACTGCCTGTTGTATTTTTCATCCAAAAGGAGTTCAGCCAGAATATTAATTGCAACACAGGTTAGAATAGGAGTGAAACTGTGTTAGATTTTCAATCCATTTATTTAATATATGCCCTGGAACTAAATACTGAAAAAAAGAGTCTAGAAAAATTGTCTATGAGTGAATGAAAGGACATAAAATTACCCTTTTTTTTTTCTTTTTTTCTTTATGGAGATGTTTATTTCTGGGGTGGTTGAGGACAAGATTTATGTTGCTTTTTTTTTTTTTTAAGCCCAACAAGCAACACATCGAGAAATCTCTGTGTACTTTTTCATTTTCTGGAGATGTTTATTTCTGGGGTGGTTGAGGACAAGATTTATGTTGATTTTTTTTATTTTTTAAGCCCAACAAGCAACACATCGAGAAATCTCTGTGTACTTTTTCATTTTCTCCGTTTCTTTTCAGATTTTTATTCTGATGCACTTAGAGTGGGTCTATTGGGCAACTCCATGTACTAAAGAGAAATTATTTTTAAAGTCTTCTTGTCCTTTGGGTAGATAGAGGATTTCAGGGACACTGATGATAAATTAAGAGAATATCAGAGACACTGATGGTAAACTGAGAGAATAAAGGGTTTCCCACAAAAAGAAAAATATTTTCAGTCAGCATAAATACCGAATATGACAGGAATTCAAAGGACCGTTGTTCTGGATGGAAGATAAGGAAATATGAATTTAGCCTTCATTAAATGGGACAGGACAAATAGAAAACTCAATACAAGTTTTTGTTAAAAAAACTGCATTGTCTTTTTCTGTGCTCTGACACATGTATAGCAATTGCTGTAAGTCATCTACCACATAAAAAGCCAAGTAAACCACTTGATCTGGCACCTCCTCAGCTTCTACAAACCTAATGAAATCTAGTTAGGGCCTCTTTTATCCATTCTACTTAGAGATTTCCCATTAAGGTTTGTTTCTGAAAAACAGGTTAGTGACATTATGTTCTTCATAAATAATAATTTTTGAACTCACCATAAGATAAACTAGAGCAGTTCAACAATGCTTCAGAGTTAAGAAAAGGATAAAACAGTCTCATAAGCACACAGAAAAATTTATACCTTAGAGAAAACATTGAAACTCCCAAATAAGGACTGAGTGTTTTTTTCCTCTCCTCCGCAAATTACTTTTTCAGGATAAGTGAATTCAAGAGAATTCAGTTCAAGACAAGATGAAGTTAAAAACTAAAATGCCATCATTTCAAAGAGCACAGAGTTCTAAAATCCGCAATACACAAAATAAGCATTCAACAACTCTTCTTTCACAGATTGGTAGACAGTTAAATACATAAACTATATCAGAGACTCCAGATAATTAATAACTACAATCTGAAGAAAGACTTGGCTTTATATCACATAGGCAACACTGAAGAAAAGAGATTTACTGGCTTGCTATATTTGTACTGTACAAAAATACCATACATTTAATCTGTGAAAACAAATGGAGATCAAATTCAGATACAAGTTTGGGGAGGAAATGTTAATTTCCCTTTCACTGCCATGTTGTCACTAGTTTTATAGACTGACCTAAGCCAAACTTCCTGACACTACAAATACAGACCAAAACACAGATATTCTCAAATAATAATACCTGGTTTATTTTGCCTTTTTCTACTGAGCCCAATGATCCGTATTAGGAATAAACCCAATATACTCACAGGGGGAATAAGGGGAAATCCTTCCATTTTGCAAGCTTGCAACATTCAGCCAACTTCTGAGTGTATTTTTCTTAATTCAGTTTTCAAACATCCAGCATAACTGACTTGAAAAAAATCACATTAAAAAAAAAAAAAGGAAAGAAAAAAGAAAAAAGAAAAAAGTGAGATCCGCTGAGAAAAAAAAAAAAAAAAGAAAGAAAAAAGAAAAAAGAAAAAAGTGAGATCCGCTGAGATCCTCGGACTCTGTAAAGTCTCTTTGCAGTGCTGGATCTCAGGATAGGAAAAGGACCCTAACAAGTTTTCATAGTTTGCCCTAATAGGTTCTGAGGTGACCTTCTTTCCAAGTCGTATGTGAAGTTCCTGATTTTATCAAATGTCTGTAGAAGGAAGATAGTCCCTGGGTCTATCAGAGCGCTGTGACATCACACTTTAGCCAGTTTGCATAAATCTCTCTCATTTATGGAGCTGCGGTGCTGCAGCAGGAAGTCTGTGCTCGGCCAGATCTGCCATGGGCAGGTGCTACTGTATAATCAGATACCCAGAGCACAGGCCTGCTACCAATAAACAAGCATATGGGTGCAGCACTCTGTGGAAGACTATGTGCTTCTAGCTGTAGATGAACCATAACAATGGTGCTGTTCTCTGGTTTAATGGTATATCATAAAGACAGAGTCCTGACAACTTCTGTGAGGCCAGTGCAGTGGCATAGACTTGCTTTAATAATAGTCCTGTGTTGAAATTACGTGGCAATAGTTAGCAGGTAGGAAAAAAAGAGTATGCAGTTTCGAATATACAGTCTTAGGTTTATACAAAACACTGAAATTATGCTCATGAGACTTTTGTCATAAACTTTGCAAGAGAGTAATTGGTTCAGTGAAAGACACTTTGTCTTCTTATTTGTTTCTTGTGGATTCTTTTCTTTTGTAACTCCTGCAAGGAGAAAGTGAGTAGGGAAAAGGAGAAAGTATTACATGTCCCACGCAATGACTTGACTTCTCTCGGGTCCTGAGTGCCTTCAACAGCAGGTAGAGAATGAAATTTATAGACTTCTGTCTAAAGAGTCAGGTACAGAAATTTCTTGCAGAGGTTTTGTGTTAGCTCTTCTCACATGATGTTCTCCACACTCTTCATCCCACTGTTCTACTTGCATTTGGCTGCTGTGAACAAATGACTTTCGTACAGAGGTGCTGGCAGTGGCCAGGGGGCAGGGTGTAGGGAATGGGACTTGTCTACAAGGGGAGAACACTCTCATTCTGCAATATGCCTTCTTGCTTTGCAGTTAGCTACTAACGTCTTGGAAAAGTGAAGTTTCATTGTCTGGGTTGTTCCCCTTCAATCTATGCCCATGTGCCACAGGTTCTGCTCTTGAAAGCAGCCTGCTCACCACTCACCTGGGTCTATGTGTGAGGGGGAATTTCAGCCACTACAGACTTCCTCCCCTATACAGTGGTAAAACCAGACGGCTCACAAGTTCCTCTCATTCCCCAGCCTCAGGAACTCAACAAGCAAACCATATTAGCAATGGGATAACATCAAGAACATGATTAACTCTTTAAGCCCCAAACTGAATTTCGTCAGCATGAGGCGATACATAAGCATTTCATTCTTATTTTATTCATATCATGAATTCTTGATTATAACCTAGAATTAACCAAGCTGCTTAACAGTCCAGTTCTCTCTCTGAGATGATTCTCAAGTCTACCCCTGGATACCAGCCTGGAAGTGAGCAAACCTTCTGGGGAGAAGGGAGAGAAGTAAAGTATAACTCAGATGATAAAACAGTGCAAACAGAGGAGACAGGAGTGAACAATAGCACACACACATCTTACAGTGGGTAATTGAATAATAGGTGATAAAAGCAATTGTGGAAATTGTGTGTCTATTAAAAAGGCTATTCAGAATAAAGAAGATATGCTATCTGATTCATGACACTCTGAAAGATAGCTTAAGCAGCTTCTGAAACATTTAAAAACTTAGTGTTTTACACAGATAGGCTTCTATTAAAGTGGAATGCAACTATATTTCATAGGCTGGAGGATATTTCTGCACTGTCTCTTAGCACAGGAAATTACCTAATAAGGATATATATTTTGCACCAGCCTCACTGCACTCGGGGAATGCTAGATTGTAACATTATTAACCAGGTTTAAACATACGGTAATCATAAGTGCACCAAGATTATCAACATAAATAATGAAATTGATTCTCTGTATGGTGAATTAGAACTAAATAATATGCCATAAATTTTCAGGACCAGCAGAAAGTCTAGCAGTTGAATAAGCTTCTTAGGAAGGAGAGTATCTCCATAAATGGAAATGCTAAAAGTGAGATAAAATGCTTGTTTAATCTATCATATTTCTATAGGAATATCACTAATAACAATCTTGCTAAAATTCAACACAGATTAGTTTCTCGCTATTGCCTATAACTGGTGTCTTATTCTTGTTTGTAATCACAGAGTCTTCTCACCCCTAAAGTAAGGCCTACTAGAGACAATACCATTACCCCAGATTCTTGCAGTTACATTATTAGATTACTTATATGCAGAAAACAGATGAAGTTACAAAAAAGTTGTGTAGTAGAGAACTGATTTCCAGAGGCATATGGTGTGAACTACTACTCACAGAATGTATTTTGATATTCAAAAAGGCTTTTGAAGTAAGGTAGGGATGCTTCTCCACGATGGAAATTTGGAGAACTAGAGAAAAACATGCTGAGTTGAAAGATTAAGTTTCTGAAAGATTATTTCTGAAAATATTTAACATTCATATTAAAATTTTCCCTCTAAGCATCACCTCACTGTGTGCAGCTTTTTGAAGCATTTCTTCCCCTACCTCTAGCCATTTATTCTTCACACTATTTCTAACCACAAACTACCAAAGCAAAAGGGTTTCAACTAGCAGCCACATCACAGAGAGGTCCCGTTACCTCAAACCTTCTTTGGTGCTTAGAAGGTAATTTTTCTCCCTACTAAAACCACAGACATCACTCATTCTGAAGTCTTTTAATCAGAAATAGGTGTTTACACAGATTCTGCTACTAAGTTTTCTTGTAACAGTAAGACAAGACCTCTAAGCAAGGGATTCCCTTGTATGTTCCCTGTTCTTCTCAGAGCTATGTTTTCCATTGAACTTGTTTTTATCTGGACATAATATGGCTTGAGGGTCTTGTATACCATCCTTTAACATTGAATATTCATTCAGATGACACGGATCTCTGAATGTGGAACCTCTGGGGTCTGGAGCTCTAGAGGAAAGCCCTCTGTATATGACTGTTTGTTACATATACTGCTACCGTGTTGAAGACATGAGTTGAAATATCTTTGTTGCATGTATCAAATAGAGGGCAGGAGCCAGAAAATGGCTGCTGCAAATTACTGGCTGAAAAGAATTTGTTGACACTTTTTCTCATGGGGACCTGCACCTCAGCATCCTTAACAACCTGAATATAGACTCCACTGAAATATATGATCCCATTTCCACTGTGCTAGATTATCACTCACTGATGTTCCCTTGTGATACATTCAGGTTTATTGCCCTGGCAGTATTTGAACAAAGACTTTTTCTCACTATGTGGGTATCCCTTCCCAGAGTTGATGCAATTCCTACTTGCAAAAAAGTGCCTTTGACAGTTCAGCTTTCATAAGTTTCTGAGTTTTATGTAACGGCATCTGTACAAGGACTTTTGCTGGCGGGAAATGTCATAAAATGTCATTAAAATATCAGTCTTAACTAACTATATCAACAAAGGTTTTCAAGCACAGACTAGACTAAATCCATATTAGAATGAAGATAATGATTTTCACTGGGAGAAAATCATTCTGCTGGGAGTTTGAATCAGTATTAATTCAGAAAGCTTCATGTATATTCTAAGAATGTATGATATGCAATCACTTACAGAAATGAAAAGCACTTATTTTTCCATTTGATTAGTACCTTTTAAACTCTCCATAAAACAGAATTCAGCAAAGAAGAAAATCTCCCTTTGGCAATTTATGCGGTTTTAAGATCTGTTTCCATTTCAGCTGCATTTTGTTTTTCATTGTATTTGGGAAAACTCGTTTGGGTTTTAAGGTATTTTCAAATAACTGGAAGATTTTATGTTAGTTTTTGATGATCTTCTGCATTCTGGGGGCAACAGATTTTCAATATGCATATTCCTGCTCTTTCATTGTCATCCAATCTCTCAAAACAAAACCTTTGTAATATTTCAAGCAATTAACATGGGAGAGTGCTTTAATACCATCTACTCTTGAAGACTATGTCTAGTGTACATACTACCTACAGTTAGTAGCACCAGTAAGATGCAAGCATTATTGTCTAACATCCCTTCAAAGAGAACCTACAGTCCAATAGAGGTTCTGTCTTCCTCCCCCCCGCCTCCCAATCAGATATTTTAATAGTAAAAGTTAGGCTATAAGGGTAAGATGCATCTGTGATATGGCTCAATAAGAGCATATTTGTAGAGAAAAATACTTGTTGCTGATGGAGGAAATACACCCTGTATTTTCTCTGACAAGGTAACGCTTCAGACTGATCCTAGTCTGATGCCATGGACTAAATTCCCATTTGCATCTGCAGACCTGAGTCATATCTTCAGTTTCATCTGAAAAGAATCTAGGTTGTGCATTCTAATACAGCTGTGTGATGCAAAATGTAGTAAGTGAGGAGGATCAGGAGATTAATTTTAGAAGTGGTCTTGTGATTTGAACTAAATTGCTGTTCTACATCCACCATTAGAGAGGATTCCTTTCCGGAGTCTGTAGTGACCTTTGTCAACCTGTGTCAGAAATATCTTTGCTGTATGGAGTTTGGAGATCTTTCTTGAAAGTTCAGCTGTATCTAGGAAGGACTCTTTCTCTCCTAATGTAAATAGTACTTTCCAGACTTGCATCTTATTAGGATTATTTCTCTTAGTAATCTCTCAGAATTCTAAAGAGAAAAACACTAATCACAAATAAACGTGTTGAGGTAGCTGGTGGGCTACATAAACTGTGCTTCTTGCTCTCTGCCACTACTTTCACAAGGGCTTTGTTCCTGGAACGGAATGCATAGACAAAGTAACTAAACTATTAGAAGCCAGTGCTCTTCGTACATCCTCACATAGACATTTGGCTGCATA